GTTCAGGTGGGTGCTGTTTAATTTCCATCTGTTTATGAAATTTTTTTTTCTTTGGTACTGGGGATTGAACTCGTGACTTCATGCTTGCTAGGCAGGCACTTATGCTACTGAGCTATATTCCAGTCCTCAACATTGATTTGGAAAGATAGTTTTGTGTGGTATATCAGTTTGGGTTAGAAGGTGTTTTCTTTGGGTTTGCGATACTTTACACCAAGCTCTTCTTGACTGGTGGGTTTGTGTTAAGTCTGCTGTGATTCTGATGGGCTTTCCTTGGTAGGTGATTTCTTTCTTTTCTCTCAGAGCTTTTAATCCGTTCTTGTGTTGAATTTTTGGAATCTTGACTCATATACGTTGGTGTAGATTTTTTTTTTTAATCATGGCTAATTGGAGTTTTATGTGCCTCACTTACATATATGTCAAATTATTTTTCCCTGTCTATTGGGAAACTCTTGACTTTCCTTGTCTGGGGCACAGATGTTATGGCAGAGAAGTTTCCTGCCATGATATTTGTGAATAGATCTATGATGTCATTTGTGATACTCCTGTTTTTTCACTGACTCAGATCAATCTGTGTTATTGTTCTTAGTGTCATCTGGTAGGTGGCAGATTGGTTTTTCCTGGTCCCTTGTTATTTCAAAGAAATATTTTCATCATTACTAATTGCAATTCTATATCAAATTCTGTCTTCGCATTGGGCATTCTGCAACATATATTTTCAATGGAATTTTTAATTTCCTGGCTATCTGTGTGAATCTTTTCAATGGATTCCATTTCTTTCCTCTATTGGGTATTTATAGTTTCCATGATTTTCCTAAGCTCCTCTTTTTTTTCCTTCTGTATCTGCTGTAGAATCCTTAGCCATGGTCACTGTCTCTGTAGTTATTGGAGAAATTATTTCTGATTTTGTTTTTTCTTAGAGCCTCATTGATCTGTTTTGTTACTTCATTGTTGCCACTTCAGAGAGTCCAGGTTGGGTGGGTTTTGAGTTGTTCTGCCTCATTGCCCCTGGGTTGTCTTTGGTGAGCTGGAAGTATGGGGTTACATCTCTGTTGTGGTTTATTTAAATGTCCCTCCAAAGCCTTATTCAGGCATAGAGGTGACTAAATTTAGCATTTGTGATTGGTTCCTTGTCTAGTGCTCGGATTGGTGGTGTGAGTGTTTCACCCGCCCAGGGGTGGAGCCAGCGTAAGGTGGGAAGAATGGGACTCTTTCACTTGTGCTTTCGAATATGCTGTTTGCAGCAGCCATAAAGGGCTGCCCCAGCGTGTCATGCCATGCCATGCCAGGGTGCTTTGGAGACTAACACCTCCAAAACCTTCCCTAACTTTGGGCGTCAGGTATTTTGTCTCAACAAGTAAAAAGTAAGACAATCTTGTTTAAGTGGCTTCTCATTTTTTTTTTTTTTGTCTTTTTCATTTTCGTTTTTATCGGTACCAGGGATCAAACTCACAACTGCCTGCTTGCAAGGCAGGCACTTATGCCGCTGAGCTAAATCCCCAGCCCCTCTCATCTTTTTTTTATCGGTACCAGAGATCGAACTCACAACTGCATGCTTGCAAGGCAGGTGCTTATACCACTGAGCTAAATCCCCAGCTGTCATCTTTCTTTTTTTTTTTTTAAGTTGAATTCTGGTGTTGATGCTTATAAATTGCTTATGGCAGTAGGCTTTATTGCTAGTATCAGGAACCCTTAGGGGAGATGCTGCTCAGAGATGTCTTCCAGCTGTAGCTGGCTTTTGAGTGTTGAGTCTGTTGTAAGGTCCTCTGCTTTGAGTCATTGGGGTGAGAAGTTGCTGCCTATTTGGCCTACACCTGAGTCTTTGGCTCTGGCCTGTAGTATTGGTTATGACCCTCCCAGTCCTGGCATGTGTGGGGTACCACTCAGACTGCGTCCAAGCTTAGGGTATCTAAGGACACCTAAGCACATGACCCTGCTTGTCTGGTGCAGGTGCACAGTGGGATGCGGTTCTGTAACTGTGACTTAGCACAGTAAACACACATGCGCTGGTGATGGTACTGTGTGAGAGTGTGAACATGAGATAATGGCCTGTATAAGAGTTCTACAGTTCAGATGCCTGCAGCTCTGTTCTCTGCTCTGTCCATGCTGCCTGCTTTTGTTGCTGTCTGCACAAGTGGTCTTTAACTTTTGCACCTCATCCTTGGAAATCCCTGCTGGGCTCCTAAGTGGGCCGACAGCTGGTGTAGTTGGTAGGACACTGAGGTGAGTGGTCCCATCGAGGCTGTGGAAGCAACATCACAAGGCAAGGGAGAATGGCGATAAGCGACCCTGACCTTGCTGTGGCTACCGGTCTTGGCAGTTTGAAATGTCTCAGAGAACTATGTTTTGCAGTCCTTGGAAACAGTAGACAGATGGATTCTTCCTCCTCACTGTGAAACAGCAGTGCAGACTGCTTGGCTGTTTTTCACTCTTTTCTGCTGCGGAAAGGAAGAGGCAGATGGCCTTGTCCGGCAGGTTGACCTACTGCAGCAGATAGGAGGACCTTGAGCAGTGACCTGCTGCTGTGGAGCTCAGATTAGTCCCTATACAAAGGGAAAGGGGGACCCCTGGCTGACGCCTGGTGAACTCATGGGTCTGCTGTAACTCAGCTCTACAGGGGACAGTGGTCACTGTCCAGTCCAGTACATCAGGAACAGGCAGGTCAAGCCAGTGGGCAGGGTTGCAGGTAGTGTGATTGCTTGTGATGCATGAAGAGGCTGCATTTGTGTGCAGACAGCTGGGCAGTTCTGAGGGGGCTGACGCTCTGGCTGCAGGCCTGAGTAATTTGGGAGTCACAGGTGGGCGCTATCTCTTGTAGGGTGCTGACATATGGGGAGATGTATGGGAGCATGGCCAAAAGCTGACCATGTAGGCTATCATGGCTCAGGATATTAGCCCCTCTTCTCTTTGGGAAATGTTGCTAGCAATAGCATCTGATCGGGGGCAGGACCATAAACTTAGGTCTCTCAGCTGAAGCCCTTGCTTAACATATGGCCCAGACCTTGAATATTGTGTGCCAGGCTTTGATGTTGTTTATGGATGAAACAGTTCAAGTGAATAAAGTGGTTTTGCAAAAGCATGCGGTTCTTTCTTTTTTGCTACAGGGTATAACCACTTGGTTTTTGTTAACTAGGGGTCCTTGAGCCTTGTTACATATAAAATGCTACATTTGTAAACTTTTGAGGGGGTGGGATATGGGAACCACTCAGATTGCTTTGGCGCTTGGGGTATCTAAGGAAACCAGAGGCTCCTCTCATGATGGGTACTGGCCATTTGCCCCTTCTGAGTTTGGGTTGGAATAACTCGCCAGCTCCTGCAGTCTGCTGTGTGCCCTGCTGTGGTCTTCTGGTGCATTTCTCTGTGGAGGCCTCTGAGATCCCCGGTGGTTACTGAGCACCTATGAGTTTGGGCAGTAAGTCAGGGCTCGGAAAGAAAGCCTCGCTTGCTAGCTCCTCTTTCTTTGTTGAACTCTGTCTTTGCTCTCCCGTGGGCTTCAGCTCTTGCTTTAGATCCTTGGTGGGATTTGGTGGCTCACTGTCCCTCCTCTTGTGCTTCATATTGCTGCGGTCTAGTGTCTAGGACGTTGTTTCTCTGCTGTTCGCCGTTCTGCCGTTGTCCAGAAGCCTCAGCTTCCTTTTAAAGGCCGAGCAGTACTTGTTGTGTGTAGATGCTACTTGTGAATTCCTTCTGGCGATTAGGACTTTCGTTTGTTGTGTTTGTACTGGACTTCTTACCTGAACTAATGTTTGGCCTTTCTTTTTCTTTTCTTTGTTTGGATATTACAGATTTCTGTGTAGTGAAATATCTTACCTTCTAACAGTTGTGTTTAGTCTTCATCCATCTGGGATTTGGTTTGGTCATCATCATTTGACACTGAATTAAACTCAGGAGTACAGGAGCCAGGTGACCCTAATTCTGCTGATGTGTCTTCCTTTTTAAGTTTTGTTTTTTTGCTTCAGATCAGATAGGCAGTGTTTGGCTGGTGGAAAGAAATATTTCCAGATCACACTTAGCACTTTTTATTCCTTTGTAAATCTTAGGTGGTTTTTTTGGTACTAGGAATTGAACTCATGACCTCACTATTGCTAGGCAGGTGCTCAGGCCGCTGAGCTAAATCCCCAGCCCACTTTTGTAAGTCTTCTTGCTACTCAGTTTAAATGCTTTGTGTAAGAAGTCAGTGTTTTGGCTGGGGATGTGTCTCAGTGGCACAAGCACCTGCCTGGCAAGTGAAAGATTTCGAGTTTGATTCTCTCTGTCTTTGTTTTTGTCTTTTTTGAGATGGTCTTGCCAACTCAGGATGGCCTTGAGTTCACTTTGTAGCCCAGGCTGGTCTCGAACTCACAATGATCCTCTCACCTCAGCCTCCCGAGTGTTGGAATTACAGGCGTGAGCCACCATGCCTGGCTTCGAGTTTGATTCTTAGTACCAAAAAAAAAAAAAAAAAGGAGATCAGTGTATCATTGGTGCTTTGATTTCTATTTAAGGTGAAGACAAGTTTATGAATCTTTGCTTACTGTATGAATGTCTGGTATGAGGTGCATTACTGACAGGCAGAGCTGATGTTGCTTGAATACTTCCTGTGTGCTCAGTGTTCCTATCCCCTTCTGTGTATTTACAAGTACCGAGTCACACATTTCTTCCCACCAACAGCCTTCTAGGATAGGTCATGTTCTTAGATCTGTTCCTCAGGTTGATAGGCAGTACCTCAGAGGTACACAGTGCTGAGTACTCTTGTTGTCAGAGTCTGTCTTCTATAACTTGCTTCTATCTGGGTAGGCCCTGAGAACTGAATGAAGCATTCAAAGAGGTCTTCATTTTGCCACCTTGAAGCCTTTAAGACCCATAGCCAGTTTTTTTAGTCCATACTGTCAGTGTAATGTGCCTGTAAAACTAGGGAGTTGGATCACATGCTAGCTAACATATGTTTTGGTTAACCTTTTTGTAATTCTGATACAATTACATGAAATTGGGTGAACACTAACCGTAATAAATGTTTCTTACAGACAGAGCCTCCCCTGAATACACCAGAAAACAGAGAATATCTTGCAGAAATTATGTTTGAATCATTCAATGTGCCAGGACTCTACATTGCAGTTCAGGTAAAAACAAAGTTGCTTTTGTGATTTGCAAATCACAGTTTCTGACAGTAGAAGAAGTGGTAATTCCACAGGTCCTAGCTTGTAAGCCTGAAGGCTGTGGCTGTGTATTCTTCCTTTTCACTCCTGTGGCACACGTGTACATCCTCACCATTGAGGTTTGGACTGAAATACGATAGAGAACATGTCCTAGGACCTGATGCACCTGTGTTGGCCTTCAGAGTGCTGAGACTATAGGCATCTATCACCGTGCCTGGCTGTCCATGGCTTTTACAATTATATCATTTCCACAGACTCTGGCTCTGCCTTTTTCTATGCAAAGGCCAGTGTGTTTTCTGGAGGGTGCCAAGATAGAGATGTAGGTGTAGTTCTCTCTCTCTCTCTCTCTCTCTCTCTGTCTCTCTTTTAGAGGAGGGGTGTGGGATGTTGGTATGTTGCCCATGCAGGTCTGGAACTTATCTTCCTGCTTCTGCTTCAGTAACTAGGATTACAAGTATATGTCATCAAGCTCAGATCTTTCACTTTTGATCAGAAAAAGATAAACACAGCCTGTTGGAAAAGAGTGAAGGGAGGCCTCTGTGTTTATTTGGGCTCCTGTCAGTCTCAGAGTACTGTCTGACTTGTAAGAGATGCTACATTTCCAGGAGCTCATAGAAGTCCTTTGACACTTTTGTTCTTGGAATGATGTTGCTTTTGGTGGTTGTATATCTGCCACCTTATACAAAGGAATTGACCACAGTTTCGGGGAATAAATGAGATAGTGTGCCCCAATATTTTCTGCCTAATATTAAATCTGTTCCGCCATGTGTGATGATACATGTGTGTAATCCTAACTGTTCACGAGGCTGAGGCAAGAAGATTGCAAGTTTGAGGCCAGCCTGGCCGGTTTGGGGAGATCCCTTCTCAGTAAAACAAGTTAGAGATGCAGCTCAGTGCTAGACCCTTACGTTGAAGAAATCTGTTCTGGTGCTTCCAAATTTACTTAACCATGTATCTGCCTCCCCTAAGTTACTCATGTTGTATGGAATAAGGAAATACTTTATGGCCTACTGAGGTGATGGCTCTTGAAGTATTCTACGCATCACATGCTTTCTTGGAGGGTTTTGTTTTTTTTTTTTTGAGACAGTGTCTTTGTGTAGTGCAGGCTGCTCTCAAACTCACCATGTAGTCCAGGTTGGCCTTGAACTCAGCAGTTTTCCTGCCTCAGCCTCTTGAGTGCTGAGATTATAGGTATGCACCATCCATACCCAACTTGCTTTTTTTAAAGTATAAATTCTTAGCTCCGTATTTTCCTGCCTCTGGCTTTGAATGGGACACTTCCAGTTGTGGGGAGTCCTTGTCATTGTAGGGTGCTTAGTAGCAAGTCTGGCCTCTCTGCTTGCTGAACCACACCAGCCTCTTCTCTGTGCACAGGTATGACAGTGAAAAGTAACACTAGGTATTGCCAGATGTTACCTGGCCAGCAAAACTGCTCCAGGTAGGGGCCCAGAGTTGAGAGCCAGTGTCCTAAAACTGCCATTTAGAATGGCTGATGGGAGACCACGTTGTGTGTAAAACTCCATGAGGGTTTTCACCTCCAGCCATGGCTCCACACAGAATCAGAGGAAAAGAGATCAAAACTTTACTTCTACAAAGAGGATTTTTCACTGGCCTTTCTTTGTAAAACTTCAGTCTTTCTTTACTTTGTAACTTTTTGTTTTATTGCAAAGCTAGCTTCTAGAGTATAAGTTCATGAACTTTGCATGCTTGATGCCCACGTCAGAATTGAAGTTTTGAAGTGAGGTGGAGGGTCAGGCGGGCAGCGGCTCAGAGAGCCCTACCTATACCTCGGAGTCCCTGTCTCCCCAGGCAGTGCTGGCGCTTGCAGCCTCCTGGACCTCCCGGCAAGTTGGCGAGCGCACGCTCACAGGGATAGTCATCGACAGCGGAGACGGAGTCACCCATGTGATCCCGGTGGTAAGTGTGCTGGCTCATGATGACTGAGATTTTCTGCCTGCTTTGAGGTAAGAAGAAAGAAAAAAACCCACCACCTTCTGTAATTAAAAATGCCATTTAAAAAGTGATGTTTAATAAAGGTAATGGGAGTTTTAAAGACCAGCTGTTTTAGGTATTTTCTCATTGCAGAGACAAAATACCCAACACCCAAAGTTAAAGGGGGAAACATGTATTTTGGCTCACACTTGGCAGAGGTTTCAGTCCAGAGCAGTTCTGAAGCAGGGCAGCACTGCAGAGGCTTCACAGAGAGAAACAGTCTGTGGTATGGCAAGCATTAGGCATGGAGCAGGCGCAGCTGCAGCAGCAAGCCTGCCTTCTTTCTGTCCCTTTATGTTCCATCCACGCTCTTAAGTCTGTGGAGTGGTGTCATCCACTGCAGGGTGGGGCTCTGCTCCTCATCTCATTAGTGCCCGTATCACACACCCTAGATCGACTTTGAAAAGCCCCACCTATGAGTGCATGAGGTTTTGGGGGGACGTCTAGGTACAAGCCATAACACCAGGTATGTGAGAAAGTGCTAAAGATGGCCAATATTTGTGGCTTCAAAAGTTTTAAAATTACAGCAGCAAATTCTGCAGTCACTGGTGAGTGGTTGGCTAAGATTCTGGGGCCTCTGCTGGGTTCCTGATGGGTGTATCCTCACCCCCACGTGTGTTTCCTGGTTTAGAGTTCTGAGCTGTGGGGGACCCGAGAGTGTGCTGCATGCTTGTTTGATGTCTCTGTGGAAAGGGGCTGGCTTAGTCCGCTCATGCTGCAGAAAATCCTGCATTTTGATTTTCAGTTTATTTTAGAGCCAAGAAGGAGAGAGTTTATTTTGACTGTAGTATCACTTTCTGGTTTTATTTTTATTTTTATTATTGTTTGGTACCAGGGATTGAACTCACAACGTCACACTTGCCAGGCAGGCGCTTATGCCAGTGAGCTAAATCCCCGGCTATGGTTTTATTTTTTAAAATAATAGAGAAGACATTCCCAATTCAGATTTTAGGAGACGTTTGTAGTATTTGGTCCAGTGGATTGTAGGTGAATTATTTAAAATTGATTCTTTTGAGACTTGGTTATCCTTGGGCTCTTGATTTCTGATCTGATCGTTCCTGGGTCACCTCTCAGTAAGGATGATCACTTGGTTAGCTATAGGTTTTACAGATGTGCTTTGTGCGTGTTCTGTGTATTATCTCCTTTTAAAAGTGCAAATTAGGGTTAAAAACTTCATTTACTTTAATTGAAAAGGCAGTCACTATTTCCTTTCAGGAATCAGAAGGAAAGCTTTCCAAACTTCTTTCTGCTTTGATGAATGCCTTCAACATCAAAATTCCTGTAATGGAAAGGCTTGCAGGCACGTCCAGTCGGCCTATGGTCTGGACATACCTATTTTACAATAAAAACTTAAAAAAGAGAAATTGTGTAACCGTATTGTGTATTTTCTACGTGGCCAGAGAGCACTCTTCTCCGTGCAGTGCAGCCTAGGTGGGCCAGGTGTGGGCATAGGGTGGACGTGCTTCGTGGTGCTTTGCAGCAGGCGGGGGGAGCTCTTCTGGTGGGGTGACTGGTGACTGTGTGTGTGTGTGCACGCGGAGTCCGTGTCACTGCCATATCTCTCTTCTGGTGGGGTGACTGGTGACTGTGTGTGTGTGTGCACGCGGAGTCCGTGTCACTGTCATATCTGTTTCTCTCAGTGTCCTGGTTCAGAGGCTGTGAGGTGCTGCAGTGGGACACACAGGGCCTCTGTCTGATGATGGGGAACAGCCTTGGCCCTGGCCGTCAGTGCCCCTGACCCTCACAGCCCTGCAGAGTCTCAGCCCAGCGCCGAACTGCAGCTCCTATGGTACACTGTTTCTCGCTGGAAGCCGACTCTTCCTCATGAGAGTGTTTGTGGCATAGCTCGTGCTATGAAGTAGTGCCATGTGCTTGGCACAGAAGAGTTTATTTAACCTTTACTGCAAGTACCATTGGACGTTACTTGCTCTGTTATTCTGGATCAAGGTGCTGAGGTTGAAGCTGTTCACCTGGCATGGGAGTTTGCAGCCAACAAACCTGCAGCAGGATTTGAATCCAGGCTGTTAGAAGCTTAGGCTGTGGTCACCACATGGCTGGCTTCTACATATGAGTAGTTTTTAATAGTTGGGTTAGCAATTTATAAGCCTTTCCTATTGGTTAGAGAAAAGAAAGGTTGTATTTACTGTTCTAATAGATGGTGTTACCTTTTGGAAGTGAACCGCCCTGTACTTGGAGGTCTCCCTGTGCATTTCTCATGAGAACACTGTTTTGGTTGTTGATGGAGATTCTCAATCTTTGGGACAATCTTGAGTTTTAAGTATTAGGGAACTCCATGTGCAGTCACTTCAGTAGACCCCGTTCTGAGTTTGCACAGGTTGGGTCTCAGTTCTTGCAGGATCAGGCAGGGGTTGAAGTGAGACAGTGGGCCTGGACCATGGGATCACTCACCAGCTGTTTTGCTTCCTTTCTTCCCCAGGCAGAGGGTTATGTAATCGGAAGCTGCATCAAACACATCCCGATTGCAGGTAGAGATATTACGTATTTCATTCAACAGCTGCTAAGGGAGAGGGAGGTGGGAATCCCTCCTGAGCAGTCACTGGAGACCGCAAAAGCCATTAAGGTAAAAACAGCTGGGAAACCGGCCGGTTTGGGGTGAGAGAGAAGTACTGTCTGAGGCCTTCCTGAGTGCACCTTCCCCCTCCTGCCTGCCGTCCCCTCCCCTCCCGAGAGTGTGAGCCCTGACCTGTTCCCAGTGAGCTCAGTGGGCTGAGGATGAGGCTCAGCCTACCTTAAGCGCTCTGTTGAGGCTCTGGCTATGAACCAGAGCAGCTTGCTGTGTTGTGGAGCCACCGCCGGTGCAGTATAGTGTGGGTTAACTGGCGCCTAATATATAGAACTTTCATTGACTGATGTCACTTCCTTGTCTCCTCCCTGGCTGTTAGACTGAGGAGGCACAGGTCATAGCAGCTGGGGGACCACGGGCTCTGCTGGAGTCTGTGTGAGTCTGTGCCCCAGAGTTCACATCTCAACAAGGTCTTTCCAGGATCCAGAGTTACCATCCAAAGTCCATTTGTGTCAGGGAGGCTCAGGAAGCTTTATAATTCAGCCAGGAGGATTAGAAGGAAAGCAACTTGATGTGTTAGTTTGTATTTCTCTGTACATGACTTATCATGTACCCTCTGGAAGGAATTTTTCAAACTTTAGAGAAAGATCAGATTGGAAGGAGTGGCTAGCAGCCCAAAGCTAATGATTCTCTAGGTGGAGAGGGAGGATTCCTTTGTGGACCGTTGCGGGAGGGCTTGGGCCTCTCCTTTCCCATAGGACTTAGAGTTTGAGCCGTAGAGGGGCTGGAGGATGGTAGATCTCATGCCTCCTCTTCATCAGTCCCCTGCAATCTGAGCAGCGGCAACCAAGGCGGGGTAAATGAATGGAGACCTCGAGGTGGTCCTCAAGCTCTGATAGACTCTGGGTAAGGACAGAGGTGCCTTTAGGAAGGAGGATGAAGAGAGGGCAGGCTTCTGTCTGACTTCTTCGAATTGGAGTTTGCAAGGAGAGAAACTGTCAGTGCTAAACCCATGAGGTCCTGAGTAAATAGGAGTTAGTCCTTCCTCCGGTGGGGGAGGTTGCAAGGGATCACAAGACTTTATTTATTTATTTAATGTATTTTTTGGCACTGGGGCTCGAACTCATGACCTCACGCTTGCCAGGCAGGCGCTTACAGCACTGAGCTAAATCCTTGGCCCCGTCCTAGTGACTGTAATCCCACTGCCTTCCCTTTGTTGTGTGGCACTGTCACTTTACCCTGCTATTTATTCATTGAGGTTGTCTGTTGTCTCAAACTGAGGGTGTCATCTGACAAGGACTTGGGTGCTGCATTCACTTGTGTATCCCAGGTGCTGAGATACTCTGTGAGCGTGTCAGTCAAGTGAGTCAGAATACCTGTCACCAGCTCCAGCCCCAGCACAGAGGAAGTAAAAAGTGCCATACCAGGTGATCACTCCCCAGGCCCATGCAGCTGGGCAACAGGCTGTAGACACACAGCACAGTCTGTCAGACTCAGTGTGGTCTGCTGGTTCAGGGGCAGCTGACAGTGGAAGCCTGAGGAGGGCCTGGCAGGAGCCTGAGGGAAGATCAGACAAGATGGTGATACTGTCTTACCAGCACCTTTCCACGTTGCTTCAGACAGTGTGGCAGCCGGCGTTGAGACTGAAGCTGAGATTAATAGCTGAGCTGCAGAGAAAGCAGGCTGCGCTGTCCAGAGCCCCATGATTGGCACGTTTCAGGTGGCAGTTGATGGAATAGGGCATGAACTGCATCCACACAGTCATCTGGTGTGTGGCAGATCGGGTGTGTGTAATGCATGGAGTTTCTGTATGTGTGTGAGAGGGCAGAGGTGCTGGGTAGCTGTTAATGTTTGGTGACGTCTTTGTGTGTACATGCAGGAGAAATACTGTTACATCTGTCCTGACATTGTCAAGGAGTTTGCTAAGTATGATGTGGATCCCCGGAAGTGGATCAAACAGTACACAGGCATCAACGCGATCAACCAGAAGAAATTCATCATAGATGTTGGGTACGAAAGGTTCCTGGGGCCTGAAATATTCTTCCACCCAGAGGTGAGCTGTCTGCCTGGAGTGTGTGTATGGCAGTGCTGCCACCCGTGTGCACAGACAGACACCCGGTGTCTCAGCCACGTGATTTTCCCTGGATCTCAGCTGATTTTTCATTCCTTTCACCTTATAAATATTCACAAGCAATGTGTTTGTGTTTCTTGCTGAATGTCATGTGTCTTATGCATGTGGTTTTTCCTTTTCTCACTGGCATGTATCAAACACTCTTCTGTTACTAAACCCACACATTTCCCCTCTGTGGAGACTCATGGGACCATCACTGCAGAGGTGGTTTAGTGTCACATTGGAACCTCTTCCATACCTCCATCCCGATGGGAGGGTTTCAAGTTATCATTGTCTGTTTGTTAAAATTGCTTTGTGAAGAGTTTTTGTTGTGTGCTATTTAGGGAAATATAACCTTCCTTTTGTGTTTGTATACAATATAGTTTGCCAATCCGGATTTTATGGAGTCTATTTCAGACGTGGTTGATGAAGTGATCCAAAACTGCCCTATTGACGTTCGTCGCCCACTGTACAAGGTATAAGCTGCTTGGTAAGGCGTTTTGATGGCATTCTCATTCAAGGCCTCTGGTTGTTCAGTTAGTTCATTTCTATGAGTGTGTAGACATGCTCACTTCACCTGCTCTGCAGGATTTGTTGCAGGCAGTGTAGTTTAAAAGGTTTTTCTTGAAGCGGAGATGATTTACACGTTTGGAGATGGAACCCCCTTGACTGGAAAAATTGGATTTGGACACTGCAACGTCTTGTCTTCTTGCTTGGCCAGCTGTATCTGAAGCTGAGTAATCCTAGCCAGGCATACTCACTGGAAGTCGGAGGGACCCCAAGCCCCTGCTTTCTGTAAGGTTCATGATCTCATTTCAGCTGATTTGTGGCCTGTGCTGGCTGATGGGCAATGGGAATCAGAGCCTGAAGTGGAGCCACCACATAGAGTCTGCACACATTATGTCTTTTAAATGGTTCTTTGATTGTCTAGAATCCTGAAACTTGGAGTGAGAGTAGTCTAGGCCAGATAATTATTGGATGAGAGGAAGTCTTACCAATGGGCAGATATGGAGAGCAGAAAGGGGAGGCTTTGCCTGCAGTTGATCCTTGCTCGGGTGTACTGTGCCGCCAGCTCTCGGCCTAGTGGCTTCTGACTGGGTGGAATTTTACAGAGTAGAGACCTGGGCTCAGAAAAGAAGAGTCAGTAAGTTTTGTTTCTGCTCATGGTGAAATAGCATTTAACTTTTAAGGAAAGTGAGTATCTTAGTTACTTTTTTCATTGCTGAGGCAAAATACCTGACACCCAAAGTTAAAAGCAGAAAAGTTTGAAAAGGATGATCGTCTTGACCTTGGTTCTTGGTTTTTCTCATCAAGCAAGCTCTGTACGCTGCAGGGCAGGGAGGCGACTCACATGAGGCTGCCCCTTACCCATCTTAGGGCCACCTGGGACAGGACTGTGGGGAGCTGGCCCCGAGTGCCCCATTTGGCAGCAGAGCCTGTTTCTCTCATCACCTTGCGACTGCGACGGCAGGTACTGTCAGCTCTCCATGCAGGGGCCATTCATGTCACACGGCCCAGCCTCACTGCCAGGCCCTGAGGAAGGTGAAAGGTGCAGGCATGTTTAGTGGGCACCTTGGGCTCCTCCACAGCCACCAAAAAAGAACTGCGTTCAAAGCAGGGTGCTCGATGAGTAGGGGGTTTGGTGTTGAGGCCTGAAAATGCCTCCTCCTCTGCTGTCCTGACAGGTGGCTGTTACAGAGGCACTTTTCTCCATGAGGGATTGGCAGACCTTTTCTGCTACAGGGCCCGATGGTGAGGCTTCTGGGTTTGTACATCCTATGGATGAGGCTGCATTTGCACAGTTCTACCAAGGCATGCACACCATGTGTGAGCCCTGGAAGAGACTGGCTCCTGTAAAGCTTGGTTTATAACAACAGGCAGCTTGTTGTAGATATTTGAATGAAAGGCCTAATTCCAGTGCTTTGCAGATTGGGTCTGGGATAATTGTTTGCTGGCTGTCATCAGGCTGTGAATGTCAAGGTGTGTCCTTTGTTCACCAGCAAGACAGTGCTGCACTTAGCAAAGACTGAAAGAATGACTACAGGGCTCTTGTCACCTTAGGGCTTGGTGGCTTTGGCTGGCATTGCCCAGGACAGGGTGCAGTCTGCACAGCCGGTACTTCTCCTGACTTGGAGCCTGGAACTGGGCATCCCTTTTGCTGGGAGACTTACACTCTGTGGGATGTAGAAGGGTCCCTCAGAGCTGGTGTTCTGGAGCCATGAAATGTCCCTGTGAGGTGGCTCCTGTGCAAGGTGCCCCCTTCCCGCACTGCCCCCCTGCCCTGAGTGTGGACCTGAGCTCATGTGGGGCATGCCCTTTCCTTGCAGCTTCTGTTGGTGATGCGTAGATTCTAACTGTGGGCTTCTGTAGAACTGATTGTAGAACACTGTTGTGGTTAGATGCCCCACTAATACCTCTGCAGCCCCTGCACTTGGCTTCCTAGACCTCCATACAGTCCCTGTCTTCAGGTAATGGAGCACTCCTCTCCAGCCTTAGTGTGTTTTTCTGCCTGTTGGGATTGGCTCAGGCATCTGCCATGCTGAGAAAGTATTCTGTAGATCAGAGAAAACTGGAAGGCCTGGTCCAGGCCCAGAGAAACTCAGATTTCAAAAGGCACATACTGTCCCTGCCAGGCCCTGGTACCTGGCAAGATGAGATGTCCTTTCTGGGAGCAAGGACGTTGGGTTCCTTACCTTAGCTGCCAGTGCACTGTCTCCATCCCACAGCCTTATTCGGGACCCGGCAGGAGAGAGTCAGAGTAGTAGCAGGTGAGCCTAGCAGGGGCCTCTGACAAGCTAGTGTGCCTCTCGGCTTGACTGAGGTGTAGTTGGCCTGTACAGTCGTGTGTACGTGAGATATACAGCATGCGGGCTTGAAACTTTTGGGTTTTTCACTGTCAAACCTTCACCTTACTTGTGGGGGTTGAGGTGTGTGTGTGCGTGCGCGTGCATGTGCACGCGTTAAGGGCATTTAAGATCCAGTCAGTTGGCACATTTCCCGCGCTCAGTGCGTTACTATTAGGAGTTGGGTCCCATCCTGTGGAACCTGCTGCATGGTGGGGCTTGGGCTGGGTTGGAACCTTGCGCACCTGATGAAGCTATTTCATCATGCTTCGTAATCTCACTGGTTGTCTTTCAGTTTCTCAGCTCTATTCTTGAGGTATCTTGAGTGCCTGCCGGTTCAAGATGGCATTGTTAAGTTAGGGGATTTAAGTACGTATCAGGTGTGGTTCTTGTCTTGAAGAGCTTATAAAAAAGCCAAAAACACTGAAGTCCTAATGGGAACCACTACAAGCTAAATGTCATTAAAGTGAATCACGCACATTATGGTACTTGAGAGAAGGGCAGACTAGGGATAGGGAGGGCATCAGACAGGCTTGGAGAACATGTCCTCTGAGCCGAGGCCAGGCTGGTGTGCACCGGGGAGGGGAGGCCGGCAGCTCAGGGAAGGCTGGCACAGACAGAAGTAGGAACAAGGGGACCTGTGAGATTTGTTCCTGGGGTGGTACAGGGTTAGCAGGGAGGCAGACCAGCCAAGGAAGTGTCTTTCACTGTGGGCTGGAGGGTGTTAGATGTTTTTTTTCCTATGCTTGTCAGGAAGATGTGAATGCAGTTGATACAGCTCACAGATTGGTATTTCCTGTAACAGACTGCTCAACTGCATGTAGAAAAGTAAATGAGTTCCATATTGTTTGTTATTAATGTCCTGTTTTGTTTTTTGTTTGTTTGTTTGTTTTTTGCTACTGGGGATGGAACTTACAGCATCGCACTTGCCAGACAGGTGCTTATGCCACTGAGCTAAATCCTTGGCCTATTTCTTATTAATGTCAAGTCCGGTACGTGAGTAGATGGCGAGTGTCTTAGTTACTTTTTATTCATTGCTGAAACAAAATACCTGAAGCCCAAAGTTGGGAAAGGAAAGGTTTATTTCTTACAGTTTTTGGAAGTTTCAGTCCATACTCAGTTGGCTCCAAGGCATGGTGGCATGGCTGGGCTGCAGTTCATGGTGGCTGCAGACAGCAAAGAGGAAAACAGGGGAAAGAGAACAGAGACACACCTTCTTCCTGCCATTACATTACATCTTGGCTCCACCCCTAGGCCAGTATAGCACTCACACCCCCAATCCCAGTGCTAGACAGTGAACCAGTCACAAATGCGCAATGCAAATGCATGAAGCCTGGGGGCCACCAACATAAAACATGACAGTGAGGCTCTGGTAACAGCCAAGTAGGTCCCTCACCCTTAGTTCTTCCACCCTGACTCCACTATTCCATTCCCATTCCTTGGTTTTTTTTTTTTTTTTTTTTTTTTTTTTTTTTTTTTTTTTTTTTTTTTTTTTTTTTTTGTGGTACCTGGGATCACACTCCTGACCCTGCACTTGCCAGGAAGGCACTTATGCCGCTGAGCTAAATCCCCAGCCCCTCCCCTCCCTGATTTACTGGATGTTTTTGCTAGCACTGCCCGAAGAGCCTGGATTTTTATTTCTTGTGGGAAAGGGATCCTGTGTTAACTGTGGTCATAGCTCATGGCTCGTGGGGTTGAGACCTTGGGCATGTACTTCAGTGAGGTGGTGGAGGCGTGTGTGGTGGGGTCCGTGGCTTTGGCACTGTGAGATGTCTGTTGCATGCTGCAGAATGCCAGGCCCTACCACACTATGTGCTGAGCAGAGAGCTGTGGGACTCGTGCTGGAGGCTGGTGTGACTGATCTGTTTCAGAGGAGGGAAGGACCAGAGCTCTGGGCAGGAAAATAACACATTGCTGCATGGCCAGGTGAAGCTGAAGGGTTTCTGCAGTCTGGGAGGAATTCAATACCCAGACCTACACATAAGGAGTGGTGAATTTTGGAGCCATGTTGTGCAGGACCACAGAGAGAGGTCCACCTGGAGAGACGCGCACAGGGGACAGCTTTTCCTGGGCATCGATACCTTTAGGCAAGGATGTGGCCTGTCCCTTGTAGAGGAGTGATGGACTGTGGTGGCCTTGGAGGTTGGAAGGTCTGAAGCCAGGGAAAGCAGCAAGAGGCTGTCCTAGAGTTGCAAGTGAGGAGGGACAGCACTTAGGCTGGAGCATGAGGAGGGAGACAAGGGTGGAGAGGAGAGATCGGCTCAGTGGCTTGGGTGAGGGTGGACCAGCAGGAGAGGTCCGAGATTTGTAGCATACACTTGCAGGAAGAGAGATGCCACTTTTACAGCAGGGAGATGGCCACAAAGTGCTCAGAAGGTGGCATCTCTTTCTGCAGAGAGGTTACATTGTGGGCTCAGATTGAAAACTTGAGAGGGAGATCTGGGCTGTGTGGAGAGTTGAGGCGCATTCTCATGTACATGGAAATCCAGGTCTCTGTGTGGATGTTGGTGAGGGAGGTGTGCAGCTGAGAGAGTGCCCCCTGCATGTTAGGCATGCGCCTGCTTTTAGCATTAACGTCACACTGTAGTTAGGCACAGTAACCCACAGGTGGCGCTGCAGTCTGTCAGTTAAAGAAGCCTCTTAACAGAAAGTGCATTCAGTGTTACAGGAGTGAGAAGTTTTGTTTTAGATGTTGATGAAGTAAAGTTGCTTTTAGAACAGGTTTTATTTAAAACCTTTCAGACTTAAATGTTAGGAGAGCAACAGGTTTGTAGTGTTGTGTGCTGTAGCATTCTTTCTCCAGCACAGAGACAAGACCTTCTTATGTGCGGAGATAATTTGATGTTGTATGGTATTTGACATCATAAAGGATACATTTATACAGCAAGGTAAGGCAGTATTGTCACTGTTGAGGGTCATGAGGAGAGGCAACATGGTGACTCCTGACTGATGGCACCTGTGCTTCATGGGGATGCCTCTGTCAGTGAGTCGCTTGAGAACGTGTGCATGTGGGGAAAGAGCCCTTTGCCATCACTGAGTCTCAGCGTGATGAGCCCAGGCCTTGCGACCTGTGCTGAGCTAGTGATGGCGTTCTGGGCTCAGCCTGCCTGCTTAGGAGTATGCTGGGACCTGGCACCTCTGTGCTGTCTCCAGCTCACCCCCATGTGTGCCACAGCTGCCTGGACAGTGGACGTGGGTGTGTCTGCTGGCAGCAGCGGTGTTCAGAAGCCTGGGCAGGAGTGCAGCAGGTGTTGGACACCAAAGCTCCCTTTCTTCTGTGGATGGGGCGGGGACTGGGAGCAGAGGCGAGGAGGGAGGGGCACAGAGACCAGCAGGGCAGCTCCTTTGAGATCCAGTCCTGCTCTTTCTCCTCAGTACTGTTAGAATTCCTGAACCCAGGGCTGGGGATTTAGCTCAGCAGCATAAGCGCCTGCCTTCCAAGCAGGCAGTCGTGAGTTCGATCCCTGGTACCGGTAAAAAAGAAAAAGATTAAAAAAAAAAAAAAAATTCCTGAACCCAGCCAGGCATGGTGGTGTAGGTCTGTAATCCCAGCAGGAGGATCACCTTGAGTTCAAGGCCAGCACATAGTGAGACCCTGTCTCAGAAATACCACCAACAATGAAAAAATTGCCTAAATGCAGGGCAAAGCTTGGAACCAGGGTGAGAGTTGGAGGTTGATTGAGGAATGGTCCAGAAGCATGGTGCCTGTTTCCTTGTCTCTAGCAACTGCCAGAGGCTGACTGTTCAAGATTCCCAATGAATTTGGGTTGTTGCTGGCTCACAGAGGTACAGTGAGTTAGGAGGATAGGTGGAGATGTGTGCTCCAGGGTGGTGCTGCCACCCACGTGTGCCCTCTTGAGGGCTTCTCTCATCACTGAGGTCTCAGTTCAGTTGTCACTACTGCAGCAAGATTACCCTGCTGACCACTCACAGGGCCCCTTCCTGACTGCCTCCTGATGTGCTGCTCTGTTGTCCAGGTCATCCTCAAGGCATAGGTTAAACAGTGAGACGAACGTTTCTGACAGTTTGGAGAGACCTGACAAGTGTGTATACCTGAAGTCACCACTGTGGTTAAGGGTGGGACACACCGTGGCCTCAGATGCCGTACTCTTCCTGTACCCCAGTCCAGAGTGGGCAGGTTGGCTCCAGGCCCCTTTGTCGTCTCTGCAGGTGTGCTACTCCCTAGGGCTCCAAGTAAAGGGAGCCACGTGGTATGTTCTGTTTCTGCTGCTTTTGTCCAGCTAATACTGCTTTTGAGTTGATGTGTTGGAGTTTGTTCCTGCTGACTGTGGGCAGCATTCCAGCATAAGGATTGATGGGAATTTGAGTTGTTTCCAGTTTTGGCTATTACAGAAAACCTGCCATGGGCATATTTCACAAGTGTTTTGTTTCTCTTGGGTTAATACCTAGAAGTGCAATTGCTTTCTCAAATGGTAAGTGTCTCAAATGGTAAGTGGCTTATTTTATTGTTATTTTATTTATTTATTTTTGGTACCAGGGATCAAACTCACGACCTTGTGCTTGCAGGCAGGTGCTTACATCACTGAGCTAAATCCCTGGCCTAATGGTGATTTTGTTTGTTTGTTTGTTTGTTTTTGGTACTGGGAATCAAACTCAGGACCTTGTTGCCAGGCAGGAACTTATGCTGCTGAGCTATGCCCCTAGTCCCTAATGGTGATTTTTTGGAAAAAAGTGAATAGGAATTTTTTAGCACTTGGGATTAAACCCAGGGACTCAGGCTAGCTGGGTGGTTGAGCATGGAGCTGTATCCCCAGCCCATGAATAAAAATCTGTTTGAAAAATAAATGGTCATTTTAGATGTAATTTACCATTAAAAAATGTTTTGTGATGTCACATTGTGTATTGTCTCTGAAGGCCAACGCTAGATTCTGTAGGGGTAGCTGACCTATTTGAGTCTCCAGTCTCTTTGGATATCTAGTTTGAATGACGAGAGTTAAAATCACGACAAGCGGTGTGCGTGAGAACCCCTGACATGTCTCAGGTCGGGACGGTAGAATCACGGTTATGTGCAGGTGGCATTACGTGGACTCAGTAAGGACCTAAGTGAGTGTTAAGTCCTGATTGGTGTTTGACCTGTTTCTGCCATTATAAAGTCAACAAAAAAGCCTGTGGCACCACCAGATCCTGATGGTCCACTGCTAGGATGGAAATTGGAGAGGATTTAGGGGAAATCAGTACAAACAGGTCCTAGAAGAGGTGCCCCGTTGACCTAATTTCTGAGACTATCCTGTTTTTCCACTTAAACCTACAGGGGTCATTTAGACCATCTTTCCTGCCTCCCATGATCAGACAGGGCATCTTGTCTCCTTGTCATGGTCAGGTGGGCCCCACTGACTAGATGATAACCCACTTACCACCTGGAGGGTCTTTATTGGCTCAGTTCAGGGATATTTGTTTTCTTAGTCTCTGGTCATCACTGTGAAGTTAACACTTACACTATATATTTGTGCAAATGGGTCTCATTGTAACCTGCACTCACAATGCTCCCAAATTAGAGTTTTCCCTTTGGCTGTGTTACTGTCTTTCTTTCCACTTTCTTGATGTTTGCTGGATGCTTTCCAAGGCAGTGGTTACTCTGTGGTGTCTGGCTTCTCTGGAACATGGATTTTATGAGGGCTGGCCTCACTGCCAGTATTGGTGCTGGTGATCTCGCTGGCAAGATATGGCCAATGTGGTTTGACAGCTGTGTCTGACACACTACCTGTGCCGACCAAGACTGTGCAGTAGCCACGGTGCTCTCGTCCACCTGCACCCTGTGCCATGCACTGAGTGTTAGGTTTGCAGGAGAAAGTCATGATTTCCAGCAGCAGACGGGCTGTGTAATTGGAGGCAGTTTGACCCTCACCTCACAAGGCTGTGGGTTCCATGGAGTTGAGCTGCTGGACTGCTTCTGTGGCGGTTGTTGGAGAGCCTACTATGCACTTGTCACAGTGTCTTCACTAGGGATATGAGAGGGACACAGGCACAGCTGTGTTGCTGTGCAATGACTCCTGATTAGTGCCACTTACAACCAGGGGACAGGAAAGCATGCTCTCGCATCTCGGTTCTCTTTCTGTCTTTTTTTTTTTTTTTTTTTTTTTTTTTTTTTTTGAGACAGGGTCTTGCTATGTAGTTCAGGCTGACCTAGAACTTGCTGTATAGCCCAGAGGCCTCAAACTTAACAGGAATCCTCCTCAGCCTCCCAGAGTGCTAGGATTACAGGGTATACCAACATGCCCACCATGTTTTCTTGTGATGCCCACTTAACCTCACATTTGGTGAGGAGTTTACTTCTCAGATTCGGAGCTGGACAGGAGGGGCAGGGTGGGAGTGGTCCTCCTGCTCTTCCTAGGGATTTTTGGAGAACTACTGAGCTTTCAAGGAAGTGTTTTCCTTACAGTTTTCTCAATGGAATTTTCTGTAGCAAAGTTACTTGGCGATACACTTAACTTCCCTTTCATTGTGCTGAGTAGTGGTGCTGTGAAACTCAGAATGCACAGCTGCTACTTCCCCGGAGAACGTGGCCTTTGTTGCTATCAGAGTTCAGATTAAGAACCCTTCTGCTTCTTCCCTTTCTGCACAGCATCTGGGTGGTGTTGACAGAGTGACAGAGTCCCTGATGTACCGATGGGGATGGGGCCGGTGATTGGGTTGTGTTTTCTGCTTGATACCAGGATCTGAGAAGGTTCTAGCGTCAGTCAAAAGACCCTTTTCCCTCTGAGTAAGGCAGAGCAGTTGAAGGTCTGATGTTAGGGATTCAGGCTCAATCTGTGTATCAGGCTGTACTGTTGATTTTGGCTTTGTGGTCCTTAGAGGTTCTGTGTGGTCCAGAGTTCACACTGGGGAAGAGTGGCTTTTTGTTTTTATTCAGGTACAATCACAAGCTGAGAGAAACAGCTGGTGACGCAGTGTCATCACAGGAAGAAAAGGCCAGCCTGTGTTTTTTGTTAGTGTTAACATTGCTTCCAGTCTCATCTTTTCCTTGGGGGTTACTGTGTGTGTCATGCAGGGTAGGGGTTCTGTTGGGAGCAGTTACTGGGACATCGTGGACGGGTGATTTCATGGGGCAACCCTTTGCTTTGTGTCTTTTAGAATGTCGTTCTTTCAGGAGGCTCCACCATGTTCAGGGATTTTGGACGCCGATTACAGAGAGATTTAAAGAGAGTGGTGGACGCCAGATTAAAGCTCAGTGAAGAGCTCAGTGGCGGCAGAATAAAGGTAGGCACCTCAGTTTCTATGGGGATTGACCAGCTTGCTGCTCGCATGAGAAGGAGGAAAACCAGTTTGGGCAGAATGTGGCACAGCAAGCAGACTCTTCTCTACAACTGCACTCACCCCAAGCACGGGGTGAGGCCATGGCCACTGGCAGCCCTCACTGGGCTGTGCACATCAGGTGTGTAGTGAGGTGACCAGGAGCCCAGGGGAGATTCAGTAATGTCCTTTACAAATGTCCGCATTAGACTGAAAGAACTGAGATTGACAGGGAGTTACAGGGTGCCCCTCCAGTTGACAGCTCCGCATTAGTGGATGGTTTTATTTAGGTTTCTAACCAAGACTGGGCTTTGGCCAGCCTCATGGGAGCAAGGAAGAAACCTATAGAGCCGGAGTTGACTATTGGAATAGTGCAGTTTCTCCCAGTGCTTTGGGGGTGGCTTTTAGCATTTGGAACTCTCTCCAGAGGGCTATATCTCTTTACTTGGTTGGTCAGAAGTTCATTGGGTTGGTTGCTTGTCCATTGGCTTTGGACATGCTTTCCTGCCCTCATGAAGGGCTCTTGCTACACTGTGCTGGGACTGCTGTTGCTGTGTCCAGGCAGGGAATGTGGACTCGAGGGCAGGGCCTCCTGGTCAGACAGTGGGCAGAGGGTGAGGAAAGCCAGGAGTGGTCCCCCTGCAGACTGTGGAGTAAACATGCTTCCCTCTGTCCCCAGCCCAAGCCTGTGGAGGTGCAGGTGATCACGCATCACATGCAGCGCTACGCCGTGTGGTTTGGAGGCTCCATGCTGGCCTCAACCGTGAGTCCCTCCCACGCTGGCCTGCTGGCCTTGCCATCTTCCCTGTAGGTCTGAGAATGGACTCTGAATCGGGGCTCTCCACACACTTGATGCTGTCGCTTTTAGAGAGACAGTTCATGGTCATTCTCATTGCACAGCTAGTTACGGAGCCCTTACTAGTCCAAAAGTAATCCTAAAAAATCTTGCATTAATCATTAATTTCATAAATCCCAGTTTCTAAGAAAGTATCATTTTCCCCTTCGTATTTATTAACGGTTAATCCATTGTTAATTTAGGACCCGCACTTACTTGTTTTCCTTTTTAATTTAGATTTGTTGAATGTTTAGCATTTGTTAGTGCTTGTTTACAGTATGGTGATGAGTACATTCCTGGCAGGAGTCAGCACCTGTGCATAGCACCTTATAATTCTTTCAGTTCCTCTCCTTCCACCCTCCCTCATCTCTCTTCCCCACCCTTTTGTAAAAGTGCTGTCTGCCAGTTTCTGGTTATCTTTTGGTTTTGCTCTTTTCATTCACTTTTACTTTGGATTTCTAGTATAAGAGAAACCATGTGCCATATAAGCTCGGGTGTCTGATGTATGTCACTTAAACATTGTGGTCTCAGGGTGCATGTGTTTTCCTGCAGATGGCTCAGATTTACTCTTTCTGGTGGTGTGGTACTCCAATGTGTGTGAACCCTGTATTTTTTGTATCTGTTCATCTGTTACTGGCTGTATAGGCTGCTTCCAGAGTTTAGCGTGATGAGTGTGCTGCTGTGAACGTGGGTGCGCGCAGATCAGTATAATGCGATGTTTTCAACTCTTTCAAGAAGGTGCTTGGAGGGCTAGCACATATTTGGTCCTCAATAAATAGAGGATAAGTCAGAAATTGTGTGTGCACGTGTGCATGTGTGTGTGTGTGTCATAGTTACTTTTTACTTGTCACTGAGACAAAATACCTGATGCCCAAAGTTAGGGAAGGAAAGGTTTATTTCTTATAGGTCTTGGAGGTTTCAGTCCACACTCACTTGGCTCCAAGGCTGCGTAGCATGGTGGGGCAGCCATTTGTGGCTGCTGCAAACAGCAAGGCCTGAACCAGAAAGAGAGACAGACACACCTTTTTCTCGCTGACGCAGCATATCCTGGCTCGGCCCCTGGGCGGGTGAAACACCACCAATCCAAGCGCTGGGCAGTGAACCAGTTACAAACGCTAGATTTGGGCGTAATTGCCTGAGGCTTGGGGGCCACTGACACAGAGCATGACAGTGCCTATGTGCATGGTGCTGGGCTCAGTGTGCTGACCACTTCTGTCTTTGCGGAGTGGAGCCTGGACCAGGTCTCGCACACACAGCTGGCATGTGACCATGGAGCTCTCTGTCAGGCCTGCTTGGGTCATCTTTCCATGTAGGAAATAGATCTAATGCAGTCCTTCAGTGTACAGAAGAGGTAGAGGTCCCCACTTCCCAGAAGTGGCCTGGAGACAGGTGTGGGTGAGGGTCAGGAGCTGAAAATCTGCTAAGTTACTATTCCATGTGTTCTGAGGTGTTTGTGTTTCATCCCGGCTGTACCCACAGCCGGAGTTCTTCCAGGTGTGCCATACGAAGAAGGACTATGAAGAGTTCGGCCCCAGCATCTGCCGCCACAACCCCGTCTTCGGAGTCATGTCTTAGTGTCTACCGGGACCGTCACTTGGTAGCTTCTTGCTGGGAACAGGTGTCCCGTGGAGCCCAGCAGTGGTCCTGTGCGTGTGGGGACAGGTGACGTGATGTCCGGCGGTGTGCCTGTGTCACCGAGTGCATGAGGCTCCGTGTAGTCCTCCTGGTCAAAGCCATCTCTGTGTGCGACTGTTCTGGCCTGGCCCTCCTCACGCCCTGCCGCATCAGCCTCTCGTCCGAGCTTCTAGTCCACAGCACAGTTCTAAAGGGGCTCAAGGACAGCTTTAAATGTTGTTAGGGAAAAAGGCGCAAGATCGGCCCCCAGGAAAGAGTGTGGGGTGTGAACCCTGATCCTCCCAGCTTATTTTTGTAAATAAAATGTTATAAACTTGAAATACAAATCGATGTTTATATTTCCTATCATTTTGTATTTTATGGTATTTGGTACACCTGGCTGATACTGAGCACGAATCTGTATTGATGTCATGAAGTGCCGTAATAAAGTTTTCCAATTGTGAGGCATGTTACAATGTGTTTATAGGAAACAATACCATAGCAAGCCTTGTGGCCATGTTTGCTGGAAAGCGTGTAACTTTACTAGGGGGCCTCGCAGTCTGAACTTGGACAGTGCTGTGTGCGAATCCAGTCTTCTGTGTGAGATTCTGGGGTGTTTGATAGAAGATGATGGGATGTCGGGAGGGTTGGGTGAAATGCTGCCTTGCACATCACAATAAAAGCTGTTAGAATCTTTATAAATACCTTCCCGGTGTAGTGTGGTGGTCTTTTGGTCCCTTGATGCTTTTAAAAATGCTGTCATGGGTGGTTTAGGACCAGAAGTGCGTCTGCAGGAGGGAATGCCTTGCACAATGTAGACGCTTGTGCAGTGACTTGGGGTCCCCCACACGCATTCTGGCCTGGCCCGAGTGATTCCCCCTTCCCCCTGGGAACCTGAGGCTCAGGACACTGAACTTTCAGTAACTGTTTTCATGTTACTGTGGACTTGTAAGGTCTTTGCTGAATCACCAGATTCAGGTTTATCCCACTCTTCATATTAACCTTGTACTAGTTTTTAAACTGTTATTTGTGAGCCTCCTTTTCAGTAATGAGACAGGTTTTATTCTGAGATTTGCCTTTGTAACCATTCGGTGTTAGTGTTTAAATTTAGAAACATGTTTAAGCACTAGGCAAACCTCCCTTCTCCATGGTTTCTGTTCACTACCTTCACCTGAGTGAAAGCATGAAATGAAAATTCCAGAAATAAACAGATCACATTCACCTCACTTTAATTACACAGTAATAATGGTAGTTCTGTTTGATTATTCATTGCTTGTCTTCGGGTTTTACCACTCCTAGTTCATGAGTTGAATTTCACGTGGGAACATCAGTCAGTTTGTGTCCCTGTAACGCAGGTCTCCAGGCAGGCTGCTGAGGAAGAAGCAGCTTCCTCAGCTCACCACTTTGGATGTCCCAGGGTGCAGCGCCTGTTGTGGCTCAGGCCTGGAGGGTCCCCCATAGCCTCCCAGATGACATGGGTCCTGGGGGAGCAGACCCAGCACTGGGCCCAGGAGCCAGCGCCTGCTGTCAGCGATGGCACCCCTGGTGCCCTGAGGCCTGGCTTCTGGCCCAGGGAACGGCCAGCAGTGTAGCTGCACAGCAGCGGTGAGCACGGGCAGGGACGTGCAGGGCCTGCTTGCCGAGGTGTCAGGCAGTCTAGACTGGAGTGTGTCCCCTCCTTCACTGTGCCTTTGCCCTCACCGGACGACTTGACAGTAGGGTCCAGGATGACTGGATTTTGTGATGCTTGGCACATGGGAGTTGCACTGGATTAAATGCTGTCCATGGGAGGAAGGCCACACTGTTCTTCCCAGGCCACTTGTGCTCTAGTGCCGAGCTGCCGTGTGGGAACAGGGACCTCAGAGGAAAGATGGGATTGAGATAGCCTTGCCTGAAGAGTTCAGGGTTCCCTAGCCTGAGCTGGCCTTGCAGTGATCCTCCTGCCTCTGCCTCCTGAATGCTGGGAGTACAGGCCTGTACCTGTACTCATGGCTTCCTGAGGAGTGTTAGTGGCTTCATTAAAACTCGGCTTCTTAAATTTTGACTCCAGGAAGTGTTCACAGAGCTGAAGGGCTGATGGTAGGGCCAGGTGAGTCTGCAGCTTTCTTAGGGCTGCCTTCCCTTGGCTCTGCCTTGCCAGGCTGCGGTCACAGAGGCTGGCAGAAATCTGCAGACAGAGGTGTGTTTTATGGTACTGACAGTTCATCCTCCAGCCATCCTATGAGTGACTGAAGGGCTGGTCGCTCTGTGATTCATTCATTTCCTGTGACTTCCATTCTGCTTCACTTGTAAGAACTATGATTGATTGTGCCAAACAAGTTTGTGAGGTTAATCAAGTGCATGGCTTCTTTAAAACTGCAGCGGGGTCCCATTAAGAATATTTATCTGTTAAATAACTCTTTACTTAATTAAAGAATATTTCATAATGTTTCTTTTAAAAGTAACTGTCAGGCTTATTAAATAGAAATATAAATTGATTGGTAAAGTAATTGCAGGGGCTCTAATTGGCAGATACATCAATTTCACTTGGTCAGATGGAAATAAATCTTTAAAAAGAGAAGAAACTATAACTTGGTTTTTGAAAGGGTTGTTGACCCAGACCGGAGCCAGAAAAAGCCTCAGCCGAAATTAGAGAGCTCCTGTCTCCCCTACCCCTAGAGATTTACCTGTAACCCTACATCCCCCCCCCCCCACCCCTCGGAATCTGCCCCTGGCGCCAAACGTGTGCCAATGAAATAACCTGTACATCTTTAATGGCCTTAGGGCACTGCCCTAAGCTTAGGCTACTTATATTCCCCCACGCCATGTGTCCGAGAGAGAGATCACCAGATTTCCGCGGCTGGCATGCCAGTCATTTCTCTCCATGTTCTCAGAATAAAGGCCTCTTTAGTTTTATATTTTCATCTTTTGGAAATATTTTTCATCTTTTGGAAATAATCCTATCAGTTTTGACATTCTTATCAAAGGTTGTTAAACTACTATTTTTTTTAAAGTCCTGTATTTCTCAAGTGCGCATTTGTTTAATTTCAGTTGACTGCTCAGGTTTTTTTGTGGTTTTAGTTCAACGAGCCCTGCATTATTGCATGTGTGTGATGTGTGTCTGTAATTGTGTGTAAATATGTAGTTACTCAGTTAACAGTGAATTGCTACTAAGAGATTAACATTTTTAATTGAGTGGAATAAAGCTTTAAACTACTAAAAGTAATTACAAATGTAAGGGTTTATGATATCAGATTAAAATTTAATGATGTAGCATTGGCTGTATTTCCAGGATTTAGGGGTCAGATCAGATGGAGCCATTGATCAAAGCTCTATTTAATTCATCCTTAGCACTGAACTGTGAGCAAATTCCAAGCCATTTGTATGAGCCTGAGGCCGGCAGTCTTCCTGCTGCCTCTGCTGGGGCACTGGTGGTGGCAGCTGTGGCATTGGTGAGGAATGAGGCTTGGGCAATGGGTTGTGGAGCGGGGCTTCCATCTGTGTTCTTCCTTCCAGAAGAACAGAGCAGCAGATTTGCGGACCTGGGATCCCACACCAGGGGCTGCCTTGGGGAGCCGTGGAGTGGAGACACAGTCAAGGAAGGAATATGGCATGGCCTCCTTCTGGAGTCTGGGTTCTCACCAGTGAGCCTGCTGGCTGGCCTCAAGTGTTCTTTTTCTGCATTTCCTTTGCTGAGAACGGGACCCAGGGCCTTGCACTTGCTAGGCAGGGACTCTACCCCTAGGTATACCCCGGCCTTTTGCTTCTGAAGTCATGAGCATCTGCCAGCTGTCCCAAGCTGCAAGTGCACGCAGAGTGAGGAGCTGTGCCAGGGTAGGGTGCCTGGGTCAAGAGAGTCTGCTCCAGCAGAAGAGGTGGCCAGAGACCACACCGACATGCCACAGGGCCACATCCTGTGATTCCGAGGATCGCAGGGTGTGGGTCCCCAGGGGATGTGCCCAGCGGGGAGGAGTTTGGTCTAGGGGACAGAAAAGACATGTCAGGTTAGCCAGGCATGGTAGCTCATGCCTGTAATCCCAGCACTTGGGAGGCTGAGGCAGGAGGATCGTTGCAAGTTTGAGACCACCCTGGGCTACAAAGTGAGCTCAAGGCCAGCCTGAACTGCACAAAAAGACCCTGTCTCAAAAAGACAAAAAAAGAAAAAAAAAAAAAAAAAAAGTCAGGTTGAAATGGCTCTTTCTGTAAGCCAGAAATGACAGGTCTTCCATTGATTCATTAACATGAATAGCTGGAATAGAAGGAAGCTGGGATTTTTAAATTTTATTTTATTTCTTTGAGACTCAGTCTCACTGTGTAGCCCAGGCTGGACTTCAGCTTACTGTGTAGCCCAGGCTGGCCATGAACTCATGGTAATCATGCTTCAGCCTCCAAGGGGCCAGGATTACAGTGTGCACCACCCTGGCCCTGAGCTTTTTTTTTTTTAAACCTTTTTTAATGGGGAGGGAATGAGTATCTAGGGTGTTTGAGAGAAGTAGGGCTGGGCTAAGGGTTTATTTAGCCGTTATCTGGAGGAAGAGTCCCTGGACACATGGAAAGATTTTTTCCTCCTGGTACAGGGGATTGAACTCTGGGTAATTTTTATTTTAAAACAAGAGTCTTAAGTTCCCTCAACTGGGCTTAGACTGAGCCACCACAGTGCTGGGGTTATAGGCCTGCTCCACTGTGCCTAGCTGTGAAAAGATAGAGTAGGTGAGGGGGTTTGTGCTACATCGCAGACAAACCTGGATCAAGGCCTGGGGGAGGGAGGAGAAATTGGCCAAATGTGATGCTGTCTTGGGACTCTAACATAGCACTGATGCCGTGTACAGATGTGCCTGAGAACAGCGGTGTGGCTGGTGCCACAGGGCAGGGTGGGAATCCTGGCTGTGGCCCATAAAGCGGAGGGCAGAGCCTGCTGAGGTCAGCTTGGCAGACACCGCTGAACGTAGATGGACAGCAGGAAGCACCTGGTGATGAATATAATAAAATACACAGCTGATGGTTGAAGTGTTCTCAGTTTTAAGACTGAAATGACCGAGATCAATTTTTTAATTGATTTTTTTTTTTTTTTTTTTTATTTTTACCGGTACCAGGGATCGAACTCATGACCCTGGTACTTATGCCACTGAGCTAAATTGAAAAGTAGTTTATTTTTTTTTTCACACATTTTATTTTAAAGAGAACAAAAGAAAACAGAACGAAACAAAGCAAATCAGAACAGGAAAATGCTAGCAACACAGCACTTCACAACAAAACAACTGGACATCAACAGTAGCTAACATAATGTCTCTTTTCTTTGAAATAGTTGAGCATACCTTCACACAATAATATCAAACATAACAATATAGTAAAAAAACATTCAGAAGAATGAAAGCATTACAGGACTTCAAAACCAAGTAACAGGAAATGAACAATGGCTGCTATAATACCTCATTTTGCTCAAAAATTTGTCTATAACATCACATAATAAAATCAAATAAAACAGGATAGAACCAATCAATATAGAAGAACAAAAGCATGGTAGGACTTCAATACAAGATGATAGTAAATCAGCAATAGCTACCATAATGTCTTTTCTTCAAAATAGCGTTCATACCATCTCACATAATAAAATCAAACAAAACAAAATCAGACCAAATGAAGGAAAGCATTATAAGACTTCAAAACAATACAATAGGAAACCATGATTACCATAATATTTCCCATTATATTCAAAATAGCTGCCCTTACTGTCTGAAAGCATATAATCTAACAAAAAGAACAAAGCAAAACCTAATAAAATTGTGTAAACAGTGCAAGAGTTCAAGATAAGACAGTAAGAAATTGACAGTAGTTTCCACCTTTCTCTCCCTTTGCTCTTTTTTTTTTTTTTTTTAAATTTTAAGAAAGACTAAACTGGGGCTGGGGATTTAGCTCAGCGGCATAAGCACCCGCCTTGCAAGCAGGCGGTTGTGAGTTTGATCCCCGGTACCGATAAAAAAAAAAAAAAAAAAAAAAAAAAAAAGGACTAAACAAATCAAAGTGGGTAGAAATGAGACATACTTCCAAAGAAAGAATAAACAGAAATCACTTGTTGATATTTACATATTGTCCTCTTATATTCAAGATACAAAAGTGGAGCATATAAAGTGGGGTTTCAAACAGTGAGACTGCAACCAGTTCTGTTCAATAGAAAATCACTCTGAGCAAAGAATAATAGTATTGCTGGGTTTCACATTATGATACTCCTGGATCAGCACTGGGTACTGTAGTGTCTTTTTCTTCAAAGTATCTGTTCATTTCATCATGTGTCATAAGATCAGTTCTCATAAACTGTTTATTGGTTCTACGCATCCATGAGTCTTAACATGTATTTCTATCCTTTGTATATTAGAGGGAGACACAAAGCCGGACCAAACAAAACATTCCTATAAACACATGAAATGAAAAAGACATGTAAGACCATTGTACAAAGAGTTCTACCATGGTTCCTGTGTTGTCTCTTGTTATCTCCAATAGAATTGGCTATATATCAGACATAGTATAATTGAACATGTCAGTACATAACAGTATTAATAAAAACAGAACTTTGTATGTAGTATAAAACTTCAAAAACAGGTAGTAATCAAGCCAGAATGGGTATCATAGTGAGTCTTGTCATCTTCAGTGTAGTTGCCAAACTCTCAGACTTGATACTATCAATCATATAAATTTTGAATAAAATCTGTCAATACCAAACAGCAATCAAACCAGTTTTAACTAAGATCAGTCATGATAAACCAGTATAAGTCATATAGGACTCCAAATTAATAGGAAATTAAGGATGATTACTAGCTATATCCTGATGTTTTTGGGATAGCTGTCTGTGCCTTCAAATCTAATGCAAATGACAAACTAGGACAGAATAAAATCTAAGCAGAGTGGTGTGAGTAATGTGGGTTTTAAATCCTGATACACTATTAATATTAATATCTTCTGCCATCTTTTTAAAGACCATTCCTCCCCTTTCACTTCCCCAGGGTGCACTGTGAATTTTTGGGTCTCATCTAGACCCTCAGTTTTAAATTGGGGGGCAACTTGCTATTTACATAAGTGGTTCCAAACCTTCTCCCTCCTGGACTTGATCTCTACTTATATTCCTTTACCTATTAAAGTCTGTCTTTCCAACCTATCTGCAGGTGCTGGTCGAGTTGCCCCTATTACTCTGGCTCCTTGTCACATAGAGCACTGTTTTCCCATATTTGATTTTCAGCCCATATACCCTTTTTAAGGTTAATTATATTTCCTATAAAGAGCATCTCAGTGGACCCTACCTCCTGATCTACTCTATCTGTGATTCTTTTTTTTTTAATTTAGTGTATCAAGGCCATCTATATTAGAATTTATAACCAACCTTCTCTGCCTCATTTCTGTTATGCTTTTTGTTTGCCATCAGTTGTCTGCTTGTCTTCTTCATGCTACTTTCTGCTCCATTCATTGAGGGCTCTCTGCCACTGTTCCTGGAATCCTGGTACTTTTCTCTCTCTCTGGAATGCCCTGCAGTATTCTCTGTAGGGTTGGATTGGTGGTCATGAATTTCTCCAGTTCCTCTTTGTCTTGGAAGGATCTTATTTCTCCATTAATTTCTAGAGACAGTTTATCAGGGTATATCAATCTGGGCTGGAGGTTATTTTCTTTCAGGGCTTGGACTATTTCACTCCAGGCTCTTCTTGACTTGATGGTTTGTATTGAGAAGCCTGCCGTAATTCTGATGGGCCTTCCGTTATAGGTGATCTGTTTCTTATCTCTAACAGCTTTTAATATTCTGTTCTTATATTGAATTTCTGGGATCTTGATTATTACATGCCTGGGTGTAGCTCTGTTTTGGTTGTAGGTGGCTGGAGTTCTGTATGACTCATATATTTGAGTATCATTTCCTTTTCCTATGTTTGGGAAGTTTTCCTGAATTATTTTTGTAAATAGCCTTTACAGTCCCTTTGTTTGTACCCCTGCTTCTTCAGTCACATTCTTTATTCTCAAGTTATAGATCCTCTTGTCATCTTCTAGCCTTTGTATTGTTACTTCTTGTTTCCTTGTTATTTTTAAAAAGTTTTTCCTTTCATAATCCTACATTGCAAACCTGTCCTGCAGTTTGGATAATCTACCCTTAGTTTCTTTCAAGCAGTTTTGCCAGCTTTCAATGGAGTTTTTAATTTCCTGGTAATCTCTTTGAATCTGCTTCATATATTCTATATTTTCTTTATATTCTTCATCAAATGGTTCTCTGCTTTGTTTGTGTTCCTCCATTCTTCCATCTGTATCTTCTTCAGAGGTGTTTAGCATTTCTTTTATTAATCTATTTATATCTAACTTTAGTTGGTTAAATATTTCACTTTTGAACTTGCCTATGAGGTCCCGAATATATTTCTTTATGTCTATTGATGCTGTGTCTGATATTGCATGTTTGCTGTCCTCAATCTCTTTTGTATTTACCTTTCTTGGATCAGTGTTCTCAAGGTTTGGGGGCTGGAGGCTTTTCTTATTGCTTCCTCTTCTCATATTTTTTGTTTCTTCCATACAGGCCTATAAAGAAGGCCGCAGTCCCTTTTTTGTTGTTGATTCTGGTTCTTCTGAAGCCTGCTGGCTAGGTGACCCTGCCCACTCCAGTGTACTATTGAAGTGCAAATAGGGACAGTGTATGTTGGCCCCTCCCCTCTGGGTCAGCCAGCTTGCAGAGGCCTTCACCACATTAGTGTGCGCAGTGTGTAGGAAAATGGTCTGGGACACCTTACTGGTTCCCATTCAGGGGCGTGACCCAGGCTAGGCACATCTGACCAATCCCGTCTGGGAAGGGAACAACTGACTGGTCTCTGCAATACCTTGTTTCTGCCAGTCCTGCCCAGTTCCAAGATGTCTTACCATTTCCCGTGGAAAGGTTTTATTCCCAACACTCCCCGCAGGTCAATGTAGGTCCTCTACTGGCTCTGCTTTCTGTTGGTCTGGCTGATCCCTGAATTCAGTGTGCCCGCGCCCTAGTGCGACTGTGCCTCCGGGAGTCGAAGTGGTGGGAACCTGGGCAGTTTGTTGAAGCTTGGTGAGTTCGGACACGCCAGCCAGTGCAGTTCTCTGGTTTGCTGCTCCCTTCCACCCTTACATCTCCTCACCAAGGCCTTCAGGCTGGCCAGCCACCAGCTTCCCTGTGCCTGTGTATCTCCGGGTTCCAACAGTGCTTCTGGCACAATGGGACCGGCCCTAGTGAGAGCACCGCCAGCTACCGCCTTCTGTTCAAGTTTTTCTTTTTTAAAATTCTTTCTGTGGGCTTCAATTCTCATTTTAGTTTCTCCCTGGGTCAAGGGAACCTACATCATTCCTGCTTTGCCTTCTCCAGAATGCTATATTCCAGCATCTGGGCTATTTCTTTTTCCTTTTTATCGGTACCGGGGATCGAACCCACGACTGCCTGCTTGCAAGACAGGCGCTTATGCCGCTGAGCTAAATCCCCAGTCCCATGGGCTATTTCTCTCAGAGAGACTTTTTAGTTTGCTGCTTACTGTTCTGTCACCTTCAGACCCCACCTGAAAAGTACTTTAGAAGTAGTTTTTCCTCCACTGTGCTTTTCTTCGTTTGTTAAGAGAGCTGCTGTGGTTTGACAGTGATCAGTGGTATCTGAATGATATTAAAGAAGAATTTATAGCTTGGTGTGGTAGCACATGCCTATAGTCACAGCATTCAGAAGACTGAGGCAGGATGATTGTTGTGAGTTTGAGACCAGCGTGGGCTACAAAGTGAGCTCAAAGAACAGGGAATTTAGCTCAGAATCATAAGCGCCTGCCTGGCAAGTGCAAGGCTTTAAGTTTGATCACCAGTATCCCTCCCCCCCCCAAAAACCAAAATAAACAACAACAACAAAAAAAAAACAAACAAACAAAAAAACCCAAAAAAACCCCAAAAAACAAAGTGAGCTCAAAGGCTAGCCTGAACTGCATAGCAAGACCCTGTCTCAAAAACACACACATTCCACAGAGAATTTAGGATGCAGTACCATATGCTGGAACTAGGTATGTAACTAATAATTAGAAGTCATCTAGCTAGAGAAATAAATGTAAGCTGTATAGAAACAAGGGACTAATTGGTGTTCTCCATTGACATCTTTTATCTTAATTAGGATAGTGTGTTGAACCTGCAACTCTGATTGTGTGATCATTTTCTTGAACTGAATTAATATGTTTAACATTCATTCATTAGGTCTTATGTCTGTGATAAACTTTATAGGTAATCAAAACATTATTGCGTGATATAATTACAGCTCTCTGAATTAAGAGTTTAAGGAAGTTACTGCCATACTACATGTGACTTACATATTCCCTAATGGCAAGGATTAATGGTGTTATAAACTTTCTGGTTATGTGCAGTGTATGTCAGGGTTCATTTACAGCAGGATGACTTTAAAGACCTGGCAGCCCCCATGCTGGGACTTAATGAGCAGTGGTGGCATTTCTGGGTGGCTGTGTCTCCTGCTGTTGTGACCACCTCTGTGCTGAGCTTACCAGGCCAGTGCTAGGACAGGTTGTTGTGTTCTAGCTGTGGGGGGCCAGGTGCTTCATTTCATGTGGAGATGGAATAATGTTAATATTGATAGGGTTGGTAACCGTACCCCAGAACAGTGACAGTTTTCTAGTCTCTCTCTCTCTATTCCTTATTGGGGAAAGAACCCAGGGCCTTATCTTGTGTTATATTCCCTGTGAAGGCTGAGCTCAAACTTGAAATCCTCCTGTCAGGGTTATAAGCACATACCACCACACCAGCTCTTCTAAAATGGCTAGGTCTTTCTTTGGTGGTGGTACTGCAGATATGTTTGTTTTCTGATGCAAGAGAGATAAAAAGAGAAAACAGAAAAGACGAGGCCTTCATTGCAGGCACAGGAGGACTACCAGCGTGCCCTCTGGAAGGAACAAAGAAAAAGTGCTTTTATTTGGTTTTGACCGGGGGTGGAGTTGAAGGAGCGGGCAGAATGATGTATGGACAGCTGATTGGAGGAGCAGTGGCACACCATGAAAAGCAGGAGGTCTGATTTGGGTTCTCCAGAAGATTGTTGAAGGCAGTGCTGAAGGGAGGCGTGGTCCAGCGCCAGGTTAACTCACACATGCGGAAAACCCATCATTCCCATCTTTTGGTTGTTATGGATGACATGTCTCTCTCCAGCTACTTCCTGCTGTTCAGGGGTGTCGCGGTAGAAGCTATGACATGCTGTGGAATGACAGCTCATACAGAGGCTGGTGCCGAGGGTTCCGTCATGAGTAGAAGTTCTCTAGTGATGAAAGTTTATATCCTGGAATGGATAACCTTCAGCCTTCCAGAGTGTAGGGATTTAAAAGGAGTTTAAAAACACATGGTGCTATAAACAGGAGAAACCAATCGTGATTAGAGGACCTATGATAGGTACTACCTTAGGTGCCCATGAATCTAAGGAGGGCCAACAGAGGGTGTATTATACCCCTTGAATCTTTTTCTATATTTGCTGCCAACTCTCGGAGCTTGTGAATTCGGCCCTTGACTATACCTGACTGGTTTACAAAAAAACAACATTCTTCTAATGTAGCACAGGTGCCATCTCTCCCCACAATCCACATCAGGGGCTCAGTGGTTTGGGAGGACCAGTGTTGCGAGAGAGGTAATCTAGTCTTGGAGTGAGTCCATAGTTCTTGATACTTCATAAATAAAGGTTTTTAAATCGTAAGTCAACTGAGTGTAGAAGTGAGAACCATTCCAATCCCCTGGCCCCCATGCCAGTAGCTGAAAAGATGCCAATCCCTGTGAGGATTGGTGCTGTGGCCCTGGATGACCTACGGAACACTGTGTGAGAATTAATCTGTGGTCTCTGCATGACTTCAGATTATGTCTTCAGTGTCACCTGTGGGGCCACTGCTGCCAACATGCAGGAGTCCTGCCATGGGAAGGGAGACAGGTGGGTGCTCCAAGCCCACAGACAAAGAACTGTCCACAGGGAGGGCACATAGGGTTGGTAATGTTTGTTATCTCTTGTATATGGGCACAAGGCTCAAGAAACCCCACCACAGGTGTTGCACTGGTTTGGTCTGAGTGCAGGATATGGGGAGGTTTTTTGGCTATGATGGTCCTCGTGTTAAAGTTAGAGGCCTGACAATTTGTGTTTGTGCGTGAGTTTGAAGGGCTGATATCTCTCAGGTGATAGGATATGCTGTATATGAATTCTGTTGCAGGAGCAGGCAAAGCCAGTGATTGGAAAGGTGAGTTGTATTACAGCCTTGGAGGACAGATTGTAAGAACTAGTATGTGTTACTGAGGTGTGGGTAGGGGGATTGGAGAATGGTGAAAGGGAAGGAAAGAGCTTCAGTGGTATAGATTGCATTTCAGGGAATGACTTTGGTGTAGAGTTAAGAACATGTCATTTTTGTAAAAGGTCGGTACTTGGTGTAATTGAAGTCTCCATGTTTGGCTTTCTGGGAGTACTGAGGAGGTTTGCAGGTCCCTGATGGTGACATGTAACATCTGAGTCCAGGAGTACTTGTCTGTCCAAGTGATGCTAGCGAATATATGATCATCATGATTAGTCCAGAATCCACTTTCAGTTGGATTCACATCCCTAGCCAGGCTAGTGGTAGTAACGGGCATCATGACAGGATGACTCATGTGGGGTTTCTGGACGGAGATAGAACCTAGGACTACTAGTTACAAGTACATTGCTGTGTAGATCTTTAACATAGGCAGGTGAGCACCAGGGAATGTGGAATGTTGAGGTGACGTGAGGTCCAGCTGGCCTGAGCTGTGATGGTGTGGGTGTAGCCTGCTGTTCCTCCGTGTTTTGTGAGGTAGAAGTTATAGATTGAAGGTGAGTATGATTGTGATTGTGTGAGTATTAGGAGAGTGAAGATTTAGGCCAGGAAGATTTGCACGTCCATAGCAGTTAAGAACGATTAAGCCTGAGATAATCACTAGGTAGCAGAAAGGAGACCTTGTGTATGATGGGAAAATCACCTGAAAAGGCCATCTACAAAGAACTAGCAAAATATAAGGGACGAGGAACCAGACAGGGTAAGAAACCACTGGTCAGAAAGTGGTGATGGTGAGTCTTGGTAAGGCAAAGAATGGTTAGGAGCCAGGAGCTGAGATGCCCACTAAAGAGAAGTGCAGCCAGAGGAGTCCATAATCGGTGAACACTGCTTAGTCTGGGCAGTGTGGAACCAGGATGGCAATCCAGCAACCTTGACCACTGTTGGAGTTGTGAGGTAGACCAGGTAAGGTCCACTCCACTTAGGTTGTAACCCTCTGGACTGAGAAGATTTGAGGTACAGTAAGTCAGTTGTAGATATTGGGGGTTCTGGTTTGGCTCCTTCAGTGTTGTGGGAGACAATGATCTGTATATTGGTGCAGCTGATGTTGGGGAAAACTAAGGATTGGGTTATAATATGCCAAAGGAGGAAGACCTGGGGAGAGAGATAAATTACGAAGTAAGAGCAGTCAGCTATATGTGAGCTCAAAGGGGCTCAGGAAGGTGGGGGCTGGGGAAGGGCCCTGAGCTTGGTTAGCACCAGAGGAAGAAGCTGAGGCCAAGACTGGTGTAGTTCTAGAATAAGTTTTGTGAGATGTGTCTTAATGAGCCTATTCACGTTTTCCACCCTCCTCGATGACTGTGGATGGCATGGGATGTGTAAATGGCATGGGAGATGTAGATTTGTGGACACCTGCTGGCGGTAGGGAGAAAGTGAAAGAGAAACTGAGTTTTAGGAGAAAGTCCCTACCTAGCAGAGGAGTGGGGCAGCTTGGGATAATAAGAAAGCTGTATGTGAAAAATAGTTCGAGTTTCGTCGGAAGAGGTCACAATGGTTGGCCATCGGCCCCACTACAAAGACTGCACCACAAACATAGGCCTGAATATTCAAGTAAAATACTAAATGGCCTCTGTGTTGATAAGGAAAGAAAAGGTTTTACCTGAAATGTCCAGCGAGACTCGTGGCTCTGAGAGAGTCACCTTGAGGGGCTGGAGATTTAGCTCAGTGGCATAAACGCCTGCCTTGCAAGCAGGCAGTCGTGAGTTCGATCCCTGGTACCGATAAAAAGGAAAAAGACAAAAAAAAAAAAAAAAAAAAAGTAACCTTGGTGGGGCTATAAACCCTGAACCTCATCAATCATCAGAGGCAAATCTGGGCCAGTTAATCAGTGATGAATCTGGAGGTAACAGTGGCTCAGAATCCTGGGAGGGTGGGGTGGTTGATGGCATAGCCACTTTGGCGGAGAGGACAGCCAATCTTCCAGTGACCTCCAGGTTGCAGAGGGGCAGGATGAGGTGGCCTTGGATCTGGGCGTGCTTGTGCTCAACACCTTTCCTTGCTGCACCTGAAGTGTGGTTCCAGAGGGGCTCAGATCCTGGGCTTGGGGATGGCTCATGACTTGCATTGAGCCCTGAGTGCTGCAGCCCGGTATTGGCCCTGGGGTTTATCTTGGAGTTTAAGTTGTGTGTTCTGTTGTTAAAGACACAGAATGCCACATCTAACAGTTCACTAGGAGAGGTTTGAGGGCCAATGCAGACTACTGGAATCTAGTCTCAATGTCTGGGGCTGCCTGAGAGAGGTGTGAATTAAGGAGACTGTCCCCTGGTGAGTCAGATCTGGAATGAACGCCTCTGTCAGATGAGACATAAACTCTGCAAGGTTTTCATCTTGCCTTTGAATTCATTTATGAATTTTGTGATAGTTAAGTTCATTCTGGAAAATTTTGTGGAGGCCTCTCAGGATGCATTCCGACATTCAAGCTATCTGTTTAGGAACTTCTGCATTCTGCTGAAAATCCCATTGGGGATCCACATTGGGAACGACAGTTACTCCAGTGGGATGATCATGATCCAATTTGTGCTTTTTATCAGCTGCCACCGTGAAGCCTGCCAAAGTTGTACCTTTTGCATCAGAGAGAGAGTTGACATTAAAGTAATATGGATATCCTTACAGGTCAAATTATAGGGTTGAAAGACACATTTAAGCTGTTTGATAAATGCAAAAGGGTCAGCATAAAAGGAGCCTGCACGAGAGGAGATATGAGACTCATTGATCTCTAAGTAGAGTGGCACACACACATTACACAAACTTGTGTTGTAACATCATTTGGCTGGTGAGCTCATGTTGGTGTGATTTAAGCCGCCTATCACAAGCAGCTGGAACACAAGAGAAAGGCAGATGTCTGAATCTGAAAGAAGATCTATCATCATAATCCCAATTTTACATTTTAGAAGGTTTGTATGCTTGAAGGCATGAATGCATTTAATAAACCATAAGATCAACAATAAAGAATTGTCTTAGTCATATGAAACCTATGTATAAGAACATCTTTAAACCCTAAAACCTTATGTGGACATAGAATAATGTATTTTATAACTTTAGTTGGGGTGTTTCCCATAAGGCTATAGAGATCACTGGGACCTCTGATCAATGAATAAGAACTGGTAAAATGTTACTAGGTGGCCATTTCTTATTCATCAGTTGAAGACCTGTCCAATCTCTCCTCATCTCAAGGGATTTCATTGAATTATCTTAATAATTTTAGTATTTTTTGTAGATACTTAAGAAAAACACATTCGCAACATTTAGCGTATTATTTTTGAACAATGAGAGACTCTCAAGTGATAAGACAAAAATGGCAGTATATATTAAATTTACACAACCAATTACAGCAGCATTGTAACCAGCTGGCAACTCTGGGAGGGAGAAGGGGTGATGGGGAGGGGAGGAGAAGATGGCGACCGAGAAGAGCAGGAGGCCTCTCTAAGACACGGAGGGGTGGGGACTGGTGATGTGGAGCAACCCCGAGAGAGCTTGGGCTGTCCCACATGCCTGAAGGAGGGACGGATGTGCTTTGAGAGCGAAAAAGGCCTGGACCTGGGATCTCAGACCAGATGCTGTTACGGGGAGCAGAATGTGTGGTGCCCTCTGGTGGCCCGTGGTGTTTATTGCAGGCTGACCACCTGGTGTGGCAATGAAAGGAGGGGGAACCAGGGGTGGGGGCGGGGTTACTTTGGACAAATTGCAAGTTAATTAACAGGCAAAAATGCCGAGTCACACTCTCTGAAGGAGTCGTCAAGTCACCCCAGCGGGGAGCAACGCCTGCCAGAAAACTAGAGTTCCACACCCCGGCCCAGCAGTTGTCACTGGGTGGAGGGATGGGGTGGGTAGCCCCGAAGGAAGGGCAAGGCCAGGAGGATGAGAGGGGGAAAAAAAATGGGGGCTCTGCCCTGCTGCAGCGCCATGGTTTACGAGACAGGAACCCCAAAGCAAGAGAGAGTTGGCTCACCTGCGTGGACCTGCGGCTGGTGGTGGACGGAGGCTGGAAACAGCAAGGCAGGGGTGGAGAGAAGAAGAAAAGAGGGAGGAAAAGTCCGTAGGGGAGTAGGGGAAGGGGACTGGAATGGGGTAATACCTGGGAGGTGCAAAACTTTCCCACTCAAATCACAGCACCATCTGTTTGATCCTCCAATGCTAGAGAGAAAACAGAGAAAGAAAAGAGGCCTTTATTGCAGGTACAGGAGGTCTACCAAAGAGACACAAGCACCCCCTGGAAGGAACAAACGGAAAAAACTCCATGCTTTTATTTGGTTTTGATGGGGCAGAGTTGAAGGGGCGGGCAGAATGACGAACTGACAGCTGATTGGAGGAGCGTTAGCGCATGCGTGAAAAGCGGGAGGTTTGATTTGGGTTTGCAAAGCCGAAGGCAGTGCTGAAGGGAGGCGCTGTCCAGGGCCAGGTTAACTCACATGTGGGAACAACCCGCAAAGATGGAACTGAGAGCCTTGCGCGTGCTAGACAAGTGCTCTGCCCCCCAGTTACATGCCCAGCCCCAAGGGGTGTACATTGACATCTCACCAGCGTGGTGGATTGCTCTGGGCATCCTTGAGCTAGGGCCACTGGACTCATCTGCTGAGTCTCCACCCCAGGTGATCCAGAGATGGGCCTGATGTTGGCTCCCAGATATTAGAGGGAGCACTCCCCTTCACCTGCCCTCCCCATCCACCTGGGTGATGCAGTAAGAAAGACCATGCTCGGAACTCCAGGCTGTGAACTCTTGAGCTAGATGTGAAGGAGCCAGTGAGCACGGCTGTCCTTGCTCCCCAGGGCACTGGCTTCATGCAGAGCAGTTGTCCCTGGGTGGGCGGAGGACCTCCCGTGTCACTGCTCCAGGGAGACCAAGTGCCAGGCAGAACTCAGGGCCTGGAGAGAACTCTGCTTTTGACTTGGGAATTTTTTATTTTGCTGTCAACTGAAGAGATAATGGTACTTTCACTGACTGTTGGTGATAAATAATTAAGGGAAATTTAAGTTACCAAGGGTGCTTGGCAGAAACATTATAATTAGCAAAATGGGCTGCTTGGCCCTTCTTCCTGTCATTTTTATTTATTTCTCATGCTCACAGTTGTCATCGAAGATGGTTGAAAACACTAGAAACACCACTCTTCAGGCTGCACTGAGAGGCACGTTATGAGTTCTGTCCCTTGGAAGTGTTTTCCTGATGTAGGCAAAACTGCACAAAAGGGAAGGATCTCAGATGGCGGTTTAGAGAGCAATCACTGTGTGATCCTGGTAGTCGCTGTGATATCAAACTCCTGTCCTCTGAGGGGAACAAACTCCATTGATAAGTGAGGGAGTAAGGCTGTGGTGCTTTACAGACTCGCCTCTTTTCTTTCTTTCTTTTTTTCTTTCTTTCTTGTCTTTTTGAGACAGGGTCTTACTATACAATTCATGCTGCCCTTGAACTTACTTTGTAGCCCAGGCTGGTCTCAAATTTGTAGCGACCCTTCTGCATCAGCCTCCTGAGTGCTGGGATTACAGGTGTTTGCCACTACGCCCAGCAAGACTCATTTCTTTCTCAGTGAAGTCCCTGTGGTCTTTATTTTTATTCTTTATTTAAACTTTTTTTTGTGTGGTGCTGACTGATTGAACCCAGGACCACATATAAGGTATGATTATAACTTCAAACCACTTATCCTGTGATTCTTGCCACTTTCTGCAGCTGCTCTGAAGTCCACTTTCTTGAATATCTTTAGCTGCACTGTCCTGGCTGCCTCACCGTCCTGAATTGATTCAATTCCTATTTACTTTTTTTTTTTTTTTTTTTTTTTTTTTTGAGGCAGGGTCTTGTTGTGTAGTTCAAGTTGGCTTTGAACTCACTTTGGAGCCCTGGCTGGTTCAAAACTTGTGGCCTCTGCCTCAGCCTCCAGAGTGCTAGGATTACAGACATGTGCCACCTCATCCTCCTCCTGAATTGATTCCAAACATTAACTTCTCATGATCTTTTCGACCTCAGGGATGAGCCGGAAGTCACACCATTCAGATCGCTGAACGATGGATTTTGTGAGCTTGCCATTCTGTTGGGTGGCACCTGGTGGCAGCATGACCATGTTTTTATCATACATTGTACAACTGAGGGCAGAGGACTCCATACATGCTTCAAAAGTGGCAAGAACACTGGGGTGAGTGTGCTTGAAGTGAGGGAGAGTGTGGGAGAGACTACTGGCAATGCCTTTTATTGTGGCTTTCAATAATTTAGGCATTCATTGTGCATTGTGATCACACCTTGTGTTCAGTGCCCAGCTGTGTGGCTGGATCATTCTGCGCCTCTCTGTTTTTCAGCCAAGTCTTGCTGTGAAGCTGCTGTGAGTTTATCCTACGCCGCTTGTCACTGGCACCCAGTGCCCTTGCCCCCTAACTTTAGCCCTGTTGTAAAGAGGATATAGCGTGCGCCCATTGTGGCTGGGCGATGCGGAGAGGAAGGGCTGGCAAGGGCCGAGCTGGTCCCTGGGACGCAGTGGCCTCTTACTCTTCTTAGCCATGAGAAATGAGACCAGGCTGACGTGGTGGATGTGATGTGGCCTGGACACGTCCTCCGTGGCTGTCTCTGGTGATGTGCAAGGTGCAGTTCAGGTGTCGCTGGCTGCCGTCTTTCCAGGCGCACACAGAGCCAGCGTTGTCTGTGGCCTCCCTCACCCTTCCGGCCTTGTAGACCTGCTGTGCGCTGCGTCTTCATGCTGCATCTCCTGCCTGCCATTCTGTCCCCCGAGCCAGGGCCTCGTGAGAGCCCCCTCTACATAGCCAGCACCATGCCACCTCGGGGCAGGGCCTCTCAGCTGGAGCTGTGTGATGGTGTGGAGCGAAGGCCCAGAGGCTAGCCCTGCTGGGGCCACCGAGACAGTCTCCAGGGGACAGTCACTCTTGAGAAGTCTGTGGCCATCTGGTGACAGAGAAAGATGCTGCCCGCCCAGACCTCACCCAAGGCTTGGGCACCAAAGCTTGGTCACAGAGCCCAGATTTCCTCTCATCCCCACTTGACACCACCCATTGTTAGAAGTGCCACGTCCTGCTTGGAGGAGCAGGCTGCAAGAAGATGGCTGGTGGCCAAATAAGCCACAGGGAAGTATTGATTCCTGAGTCTTGTGAAGCAGAGGAGAAGGGCGATGATGAGGTGCTGAAAAACATGTTTTAATTTTTCAAGTGGCTCCATTGACCTTTCGCACTTACATAATGAGGCAGGTGGAGTGGACCTCTCAGAAGACCCTCTGCTTTTGTCTCTGCATTACAAAGATGGTCCTGTGTCAGGGTGCAGCGCCCCTGCACCCCTTTCTGGTACACCATTTGCCACGTTGCTCCATACTGATTTTCTAGCTCAGTGTATGAGACAGCATCGGCAGTTTTCTGAGTGGCTGTGTACACATGGACCGTGGTGTCACTGAGAGGGAAGTGTCGCTGTCCCCTGGAGGGTTCCATACCCCACTGCCCAGTCTTCACTGTGAAGGATCATGGGGTTCTCAATCCATGTGTGTGACCTGAGGCCGGGTCCTCGGTTTCCCTGCCGACACAGTGTGAAATCTGCTTCCTGACCCGCCAGGGATATTGCAAGAACCAAATGAGGTAACACTCCATTAAGGACCTATATCTACAAAATCACGATTGTCAGGATGGTGTTAAAATCTTGGCGTATATCTCTCCAAAGGAGCCTTTGTTGATGAAATGCTAGGATGAAAGACGTGGCTGTTGTGAGCACATGTGACTCTGATGCAGAGACGAGAGGGACTTGCCATGGGGTGCCATGATAAGGAACTCTCAGGACCCCACAGGCTGATACCACATGACCTCTAATGGCTGGAAAATATTTGTAGCAACATTTTAATTATTTTTTAATTTGAGACAGGGTCTTGCTATGTAGTTCAGTCTGGCCTCGAACTCACTATGTGGCGCATGCTGGCAATCCTCTTGCCTCAGCCTCTGGGGTGCTGGGATTGTAGGTGTGTGCCACCTACAACTGCTACTTTTGTAAACTGCAGAGACAGAGCTGAGTGAGCAGAGAGGTTACCTGCTGTGTGGCTCCCAGCTCTAGTGGGCTGGTACTGAACGTCTGTGGCCATGTCCAGGGGAAACTATTGCAGACTGGATGGAAGGCTGTGTGAGGGACCAGGCAAAGAGGCCGAGCAAGAAGATTAGAAAATGCCCAAGGAAGTGGGTATTTGATTTTTCCAATGTTGTGCTCGGAAACTGTAATTATTGGTGGCAACTGATTCCCATGATTTTTTCTTTTGTGCAGTTTAAAGAAAACCCAGAAACACTCCAGCATGCCATGGGCAGAGGCCATTTGTGAAAGGTGTGATTAGCTCAGCCATTGCCTTTTGGCTTTTAAGAAAAATCAGTTTCAGCATATTAAACCATTAGTGCCTATTAGATATTAACTTCCACGTTTTCCTTCAGATTTCTTTAGTGCATGTAGGGTGTGGTGGCTCATGCCTGTAATCCCAGCAATTGGGAGGCTGAGGCAGGAGGATCGTTGCTAATTTGAGACCAGCCTGGGCTGCAAAGTGTGCTCAAGGCCAGCCTGAACTTTACCGCAAGACCCTGTCTCAAAAAAAAAACAAAAAACAAAACTCTACATCTGCTTTCTAATTTTTCTTTTGGTGGGAGGGAGCTTTTGACTTTATCAACAGTGGATATGAGGAGGAAGAACCATGTGCTTAGGGGTGTGTCCTTGCCCCAGGGGACTTTCTGCTTGAATATGAAATTCCCCCGGGTTTCTGTATCAGTGCTCCAGCATTGAGTTTATGAGCTCAACATTTTGATAAGCAGCCGCATTGTGGAGAAGCTGCTCAATGGCATGGTTTGGAGGGCACCCAAAGACTCGACTGATGAGAGGGGGCAGTGCTCTCTCTATCCAGCAGGGACAGGGTAGTTATGCACTGGACAGCATGTGTCCACTTGGCTGTTGACTCCAGTGCTGGTCTGCATGTTGTGACTCTGTTGGGGGAGGCTTTGGGTCTGGGCGCTGACTCTCTCTGTGGGAAGGGCCTCTTCTGACCAGCCCATGGCAGTGGGAACGCGGCCTCGGGGATCCTGGGATTCTGCATCAGGACTGAGGCACTGAGTCCTGCCTCAGTTTCCAGCCTGCTGCATTGGGTACAAGGCTCAGACTTGCCAGCCTCCTCCTGTGAGTCAGTTCCTGAAGCCCCTGGCCACCTGCTGATGGGCCTCCCCAGCCCTGTTTCTCAGGGGCCCTGACAGACAGAGCCTGTGCCCTTCCCCCTGGCTCAGTCTCCGGGGACTCTGGTGTCTGTCACTGTGCCACTCTTT